TTTGGTGGGCCCCACTTTTGTTTTTGTGTTGGGTATGACCATGTCATCATTTATCCAGGTGTACAACTGACATGGCTTAAATTTTTGATATATCTATGAGTTAACGGACGATTTTTAACGGAAGAACCAAATCGGGGTAAAAATGGTAAACAGTAGGGACCAAATCAGGGATTTTTTTAGTTTAGGGACGAAATCAGGGATTTTTTTAGTTTAGGGACCAAATCGGGGGTCCGTACAATAGTTCAAGGACCAAAAAGGGGTTTTAACCTTATTTTTTTCTTAATGACTATTGGTGATTTTTTTTTTTAATCTAATCTGAAAAATATTGTTTAGATATCTTATTTTTGTTTTCTTTTAATTTAGATTTTATGTTTGAAAGATGAAGGGACTATGACATATGATGAGGAAGTTAAATTTTTGGTTTGGGGACTTGACAGAAGAGTAATCAAATATACAAGTTACCTTATTAATAGTTGGAAATTTTGCACTAAAGAGCATGATATGAAGTTGAAAACACAAAATAGTGGAGTATAGTGGAGTATATGTAAAAGGAGATGGAGGCATTAATTATTATGGGGTACTAAGTGAAATTATTGAACTAGATTATGGAGGACATAGTGTGGTTCTTTTTAAATGTGATTGGTGGGATGTATTTAGTAAAGGAAGGAAAAAAGGATGTAAAGAAGACTAATATGGGTTTACACTAATAAATATTACACATAAATTTCAAACTAATGAATCTTTTATAATATTGGCTACTCAAGCTGAATAGTTGTACTATATGCCAAATACAAAAGATTCAAATTGGCACGTTGTGATCAAAACAAAACCTCATGATTTTTATGATTTTCCTCATGATGAGGAAGCAATTGAGTCATATTATGAAAATGAGGAGATCGGGCACACACAACAAGATGTCTTAATGTGTGATAATAATATTGTTTTGAATCGATTAGAAATAGAAAATGTTGATGTTGAAAAAGGGCTAATAATTTTTGATCGGCTGATAGAAGATAAAGATGTAGAAGATGAAACTGATTATGAGGATGATCTTATTTTTAGTGAAAAAGAAAGGGGGTCTCCACTAGAAGATACAGATGATGATGATTTTTGATCATTTGCTTTGATTTTTAGGTTAATGTTTTGGGACAATATTTTGGAATCTATTATTAAAGTTATGTAAAATTATTTTATTAAGATATTATCATTTCATTTAATTTAATTTTAGTGGTTTAGTTTTTTTTTTTTTTTTCTCTTCATAACATAAAGTTCATTTATGATATTTGTAGCATTAGTGCTACTCAAATAAAGTATATGAAACATATAATGATGACATGAATGTTTATACAAAATTTTTTAAAATTTTTATATAGTTTTCATAATGATATATGCACGTAATAAGATATTTTCATTTTTCATGACCTTATAGTTTGTGCTAAACGAAAACTTCAATGTAAGAAATGAAAATTATAAGAATTTAATTGCTAAATCTAAAAAGGTTGAGAGATGAAATAAAAAAATTTTAATGTGACATTAGGGGCCTATTTGAATGAATTTAAAATTTGAGGATTAAAATTTAAAATATTATTGGGGGACTAAAATTGATATTTTACCATTAAAGAAATTGATCATGTATTAAATCTATTATTGTAAATATTTTTTTTTTGAGAAATGTTAATTTTATGATGCTCATTTTTATCTACACTTAATTATGAATTTTCTATATCTCACAAATTATGGATTATTAGTTTTAAAAAAAACCATTTATTTTGGTGATACTTAAGTGTTTTTGTTACCAAATTTATAAATGATGGAATTTGTTTATTTGTGGCAAATTTTCTGTTAGTTACAAATATTCACCTAATTTATAGTGATTAATATTGTTGTAACTAATTTATTTATTTTTTAAAGTTCAATTTTGGATTAATTGTGACAAAAAATTTTGTTATTTCTTGTGATTTTTTTTAATAACAACCTGCATATAGTCACAAAATATATTTGTTACAAATCATTATTTTATTCACAAGGAAAAAATAGTTTTTGTGACATAAATTTATCATTTGTAACTAATATTTTTTAAGTAACTAATAGTTAATTTATTTGTGATGATTTTGACCGTCACAAATTTAAGTAGTTTATTGTGACAAATTTTTAGTGATTAAATATAATTTTTGTATCCAAATTATACATTATATTATTAGAAATTAGAATTAGTAATTATTATCTTAAATTAGTCACAAAAATAAAAAATACTAGTGACCAACTGATAATCAGTCATTATTTTCAGTCATAAAAAACCTATTTTCTTGTAGTGGTAATTGTGTATCCATCGGAAAAAAGGCTTGTACCATAGCATCTCTGGAAGAAGGTTTCCAAGGATAGGCCAGGGTTTAAGACCGGGTGGAAGAGGAGGTCGACTTGGTTTTTCATTAGCTTGACGTTGCATTAACTTATTGAAGACGAAAAGAAGGAAGCAGGAGAAGCTTAATGGGAAAGCAGTAAAAAGAACGATATTAGTAGAAGAGTTGAGGAAGGTTGTATTTTCCATGGCTTTTTTGGCTTATACAACTTTGTTCTTGGTGTTGTGTGATCATCCATATTTCCTCTACCTCTATTTATAGACTAATGCATGCAAGTCTAGTTGCTCTGCATGCGGGTGGAAAGGATACGAAATTAAGACGATGGTTCTGGGTATTTCTTTCAATTTGTGAGGGAACTCAGGGAAGAATATACCGTTCTTCTTTTCTTAGGAGGGGTTTATGTTGAAATTAATTTTGTACTGTGATTTTTTTTTATACATCTAATTATGAGATATATGAAAAGAGATAACTCTCTTTTATTTTCAAATTTTTATATATCTGATTTAATAGTCAAATTTAAGATTTATAATTTAAAATTTCAAAATTTTAACTATTAAATCATTTTATTAAAATTTGTACTATGATAATAAGGCACATGTATCTTTTTTTTTTTTTTTTACTTTTTGTTATGGAATAGGTTCGAAACCCGTTTAGGGAGAAAAATATATATTTTTTCAATGACACTAGTCATTGGGCCACAAGGTCAAGTGCAAGGCACATGTATCTTAATATGAGTAATATTAAAAAAATTAAAATATTGAACAAATCAATAGATATGATCCATATCAAATCAGCACATTAGTTATGGTTGGTAACTAATCTTTTTTATTACTCGTTCAAAGTCAGATTTTATACAGTAAAATTAAATGTAAGTTCTTCGCTAAATTGATAAAGTGGATAAATTAAAGAGGAAAGTGCCTCAATGCAGTACATAAAGGAAGGCAGGCGAGTACGAAGTTGAAAGATATACCATCTGGTCAATGTCTTTTTTTTGGTAAAAGGGGGAAGATACAACTACAAAGGATCAAGGGGGTCTAGCATACTGAACCCCATAGGCATCCGCAAGGCATAAACCAGCAACAGCTGGTGGACAGAATTCAAAAATACAAAAAGAAGAAGAAAGCGACATCCCCATTTTTGCCAGCTGATCTGCACACATATTGCGTTCACGCACAATGTTGACCAGGAAATTTCTGCATGAGCATCCTGCAATCAAGAATTAAAGTGCTGTGAGGGTGAGTGGAAACACAACCTTTCGTGAGAAGAAGGACAGCAACCTTTGAGTCACTTTCCACAATTAAATTATGGAAGCCCCTTTGGATGGCCAAAACAAGAACATCTCTTATGACCCATAACTCAGCAGCAAGAGGGGAAATGTCCTTTTTTTTTTTTAAGTACTTAAAAGATATACTCTCTATATTTACAGAAGGAAAAAAGATATATGCTCTATCACCCTATGTACCAAAAAGGATATATTCTCTTTCTAGGAGTAATTATACGTTCAGAGATTCTCTCTGTTGGATTAGAAATAAGGTTTTTTTCTTTTTCTTTTCTTTCTTTTTAATTTATATTATAAACCAAAAGTGTATTTATTAATTTTCATATTAATTAATATAAAAATTAAAATTGATATTCATTTCAATAATTACCTAATTAAATTTATTTAAGTGAGATATGTGTCAAAAGTAATTTTTATTTTTATTTTTTTCTGTAAATTAATATTAAAAAATATAATAAATACATTTTAACATGTATTTTTAAAATATGTATTAGAAAAACTTTTATAAATTAAAAAACCGGCAATATTACATGGAAAATTCTTATTCCTTAAACATTTTTCTTCACCTCTGTATTATGTTATTATTGTACTTTAATTATAAAATTAATAAAAATAATAATTAATAAATTTATTGAGAAAATATCAATAAGAGAGAATATTATTTAAATAAATGTAAAAGATTTATTTACTTTAAGTGATTCATATCTTTACAGGTAGTAAATCTACTAATGTAGTAAGAGGTTATATAATATGTTGTTT